GGCGGCTTTATGTCCTGCAATGGCAATTATGAAAACCCCCTGTGCATCGACACCTGCCTGCCATCCTGTATCGAGATTACTCTAAAATTGGACTGATGGGTGCCTTTGGGACGATGATTCTGTAACACAGCTGTTTGTAGGGAAGGGTCAGATCCCCCCTAAAATGCAAAGTCAGTGGCGCAAATGATAAATTCAGGAGGAAAGTCTCCTTCCACGTTGTTTCCCCCGGAGCTGGCACACCGCAGCACTGTCGTGTAACAACTTGTCCAAATGAAACAGCAAAAAAAACCAAAAAACAAAAAAAACCCCACCAAACAAAAAAAACAACAAACCAGCAAACCAGCAAATAGCTGCAGCTTACCGAGAGCTGTAACCAGAGGCTGAGTCAAAGGTGGGACCTGGATGCCATGCCAGCTGTCCCAAACTGTGGCTGATTTACTTCTGCGTAATTTTATCCACAGTTCTCCGTGTTGTTTCCTTTGGGAAACTGAATTTTCCTGATGCGCTTTGGGAAACACCTTCAGCTAACTCAGTCCCCAGCCCCTTCTTCCTTCTCCAGTCCCGGGAGAAGCTCCACAGCAAGAGAATGAATCAAAATATAAAATCCAGGAAAGCCACTCCTTTAGACCTCGATGGTGCAAGTTCCGGGTCTCACGGGATCCTGCACTCTGGTTTTCACTCGGGCGTTTTGTCCTTCAGCCAAAGCAGTCATTGGGATTTTCCAAATTTTGAGCCTCCCTCCAAAGGAAATATTATTGCCCTTTTTATTTATAAAAGGAAATCTGAATATTTTTAAATGAGTGACCAGCACAGGGCTGTGTGCAATGTCCCTGCCAGAGTGCACAGCTCTCCAAAACTTTACCCTCCCTTGTTTTCCCTCCCTCCTTTTTGCTACACCTCTAAAATGAAAATCGCTTCTGGGTTCTCTCGGCTTGTTTTGTATCGATGCTGTTTCACCGTTCCTCTGCCCAGTGAGTCAGCTTCCCCTCTGGGTCGGTCTTTCACGCATTAGCAGAGGAGAGAAGGAGTTGCTGGAAAAAGAAATACCCCGGGATTGCTTAACGGCAGCTGCAGAGGAGCCAAAGCACAAAGCGGGGTGCAGCACACCTGCTCCTCAACCTGGCCAGGGAGCATCTCACCGGCCAACAATGCTGCCCGGGGCACGACCGCAGCAAAGAGCATCGCTTCTCCCCAGGGATTTGGACCTGGATGTCAAACATGGACCAGCAGGAGTGGAAAGTCAGGTTGCAGGGTGGGGGGTGACCTGGAAGGGAGTTTTGTAAGGAGTGAGGGACTCAGACCAGCACCCCATAACACCCCACTGGTGTTGCTGCAGGGGCTGGCATGGCACAGCACGGCACAGCACCCGGTCACAGCTCCCCGTGACCCCCAGCAGGTTTTCCTCCGCAGCCAAACGCCCATTCCCAATCCGTCCCTCCCGCCGTGCGTGTCACACAGGCACAGCGTGCGCCAGCATTTCAGCCATCTGCTGCCTGCCGCTTTGCAGTTTTTACCCCATTCCTGCACAGCCACCTGAAGCAGGGTGAAGTTATTAAAAACACGCAACCTGTGTCCCCGGTGTCCCTCGGTGCCCGAGCAGGTGGGTTATTCACACCAGCTTCTCTG